TTGGTTTTGGTTTATAACCCAGATTTGCTTTCTCTCAATCGATAAATGACTTTTCAACACCGGTATACTACTGTTGCCTATATGTAAAGAAGGATTGTTAACTAGTTCCATGGATTTACCTTTCAGAAAAAACAACGCAATTCAAAAACGTGTAATCAAATTCGAAGTTGACATACTGTTGTGTATTTATGCATCTGCAACTTCAAATTCTTGCCTAAATTAAAAAAGTAAAATAAAAAAAAATACCGAACTCACAAAGAAATTCAAAACAGAAAGTCCCTTATAAAATGGCAAAATCATAAGATAAAACACATCTAACGAATGGAAAAGAACTATTAAATTCCTGACTTGGTACATCAATTTCTTTATGTAAAAAATGGTGGAATAAACCTGGTTTTAAAGCTAGCTAAACCTCTGACTTGTATGACAGTCCCATTGAAATCAGATCAAAGTTACAACATCACACTAGATTGTAAAGAGGATCTATTATCGAAATTAAACATCCAAATTAACACATCTAATACAAATTGTATCACTATACAAATTATCAAGTAAACTTGTTAAACGGTGTTATGTATAAAACTAAATTTACAGTAAACGAGTTGAAATTGAAAATCAGTCAAAACATATTTTTTTCAGGTAATAGTTGTATAGGGTAAACAAGCGACTAAAAGTTTAAACACATACATGCGGTACTTTAACATTCGTATATATCTAATTAGCACGGTGATTTTGAAAAATTAGGTACTTTGTTTTCGAGATAAATTAGGTGGGGGTTTTCGTGTTTATGATTAGAAGTATTTGTGGTGTTCTATCAACTAGTCGTATTGCATTACACAGATGTTCAGAAAAACAAACAAATGGGCTTTGCTCGTTGTTGAAGGTCGTACGGTGACCTATAGTTGTTAATTTCTGTGTCATTTTGGTCTCATGTGGAGACTTGTCTCATTGGCAATCATACCACATCTTCTTTTTTATATATAGCAAGAATAGTGTGGAATGAAATGTTGATTATAAATACTAGTTTCTAGTTATGTATTTCCTTCAAATTGACTAATACCGAATAGTAATACACAAGGAAAATCAATGATACGTTTTAATTTTAAGATAAAAGATATAAAAAATATGTTTATTCAGATGAAAGAATTTTATTTTGATAAGGGTTTTTTTTCTCATTCTCCTTTTTAGTTTCATCTTTTCATTTTTTATTTTTATTTTTAGAAGAGGGTTTGAAATTTTTTCGACAATTTTACAAACGGCATCATTTACAGTTTTTGAATACTTTAAGCTTGCTTGCATTGCACGTTTTGTTTGAATTCATGTATAATTAGTCATTATTTGTTTTGATTTATTTTATTTGTACAAGTCCATACATGTAACACTTTTCATTAAATCCTTCTCCTAAACTGACTTGTACAGAATACGGTCACAGTGCATTAAACTATTTTTTACAAAGAATGAGGATTAGGCCTTATCAGGTACCTAATATAACAACTGTTTTGGCTATTATTTTTCCAGCGAGTATTGTCAAATTCGTGCAACAAAGTATGATTTCGAAGTTACTATCTGCGTAAATGACAACAACGGATCGCATGCAAAGCCTGCCTTTGTCATTGAAAATTTTGGATTAATAAGAAGATAATTTATGATATATATTCAATAAGACAACTCTCTACCAGAGACCAAATGACAAAGAAGTTATTAACTATAGGTCACCTTCCGGATTTCAACTTTGAGAAAACCAATTCTACATAGTCAGTTATTAAAGGCCCCGGATAAACAAAAATATAACAATTTAAACGCGAAAACTCACGGCCTGATTTAAAAATACATAACAATGAACGAAGACCAATTATCATAATCATACACAGCAACAAAAAATTCAATTCACTGAATTACATACAGCAATTACAGAATTTGAATGCGCGAATTGAGTTATAATAGCAATTCTCAAGCTGTATGATGTTCTGAACCGTGATGAAAAGAACGTCAAGGTGCTTTTGCGGCCCTTATGTTGTTGAATCATGCCGACTTTTGCCATTTGTCGCCTAGCAAATACTTTGTTCATAGTTGTAAAGATAATGTTATAGATGTCATAGCCGCTAGGGTACAGGGCTTGGATGAAAATATCATTGTTTGCACTATACTAAATATTAAATTTTCTATTTTATACCACATACTCAACACTACTATGTTTGTCTTATCGTGCTTTTAGGTGCGTTTATCAAATCTGATCCAATCGGTATTTCCCTATCAATAACTTAAAAAAAAACATCCGGGCACGTTATTTGAAGTTTAAAGCAATATTACGAGTTAACTGTCTTGGTTTATTTTCAGTACTAGTATAGATTGTTAAATCAGAGACAAACTGATTAAAAGCATGAGTCTGTTGACATTACGTTTTAACAAAGTATCTACCTGTGTACGGCCATCAGTGCAATACTATCAGTATATATGAAGCACAAAATTCAATACCATCAACAAATAGTATTGAATTCATATAATATATGTAAATTACATCACTTACATGGTCGCTTTGGGTGATTAAGAAATTTAACCTCTGTAAGAGTTTAAAATATGTTATTCATAACGACAAAACCGAAGAAGTCACGAATTAGGTCGTATCTACAAACGACAATATAAAATACGAGAAACCGAACTAAATTTGAAGAGCATTCGGTGCTAATTTATCGGTGCTGCTCGACAGCAACAATTGAGTTTACACTATTGTCAAATTTAGGGAGTAGTTATTCAATCTGGCGTACAAAATTTAAATCCTGGCATCTATGATGAATTAATTATCAATCACGGTACTGAAAACCACGACTTTTCCATATAAGTAATATCTGTACTTTTCTTATTTGGTTCATATTGGTAGAATTTTTTATGACATTTCAAAATTGAAAATGTCTATATTTGGGATATGGAACTAATTAAAAAAGTCTACGTCACATATTTCCTGTTTGATTGATTTTAAAGCAGGACATAAAAAAAGTTTTATACGACAGCAGTGTGTTTTTTTTTTTCAGTTTAAAACGATTATAAGACTTGTAAGTATTGCATTACTTATTAATATAGTTTATATTATTGATTTAGTTTATCATGTTTATATTATTTATTACTCTATATTTCTCTGTCTTGCGTGTTCTTTTGTTTATTTGTACTACTAGTATATTCCTGTCACATAAAGATGTCATTTTACCAGTATTTTTTTAACAATGTTATATAAGTGGGATGTTTGGCTAGCCATACAACCAGGTTCAACCCACCATTTTTTCTTAAAATGTCCAGTACCAATTCAGGAAAATGGCAGTTGTTATCAAATAGTCTATTTCTATGTATGTTGGCGTTTGTTTTGTAGCCGTTCAGTGTTTGTGTTATTCCGTTTTTCTCCGCTTATAGTTGATGTGTTTCCATCAGTTTTGATTTGTGACCCGGATTTTTTCTCTCGCTTAATTGATTAATGAATATTGAACAGCGGTTTACTACTGTTGCTTTTATTTACATTATTTTTTTATATATATAATTCAGGCACAAAGTTGATGCCAAAAAGCGGTTAGTGGAATAAAAGTTAAATTTGAAATTAATAAACTAAAAATAACACTTTTATAGTAGTCGTAATCCGGTTCTGTGACCAGATCAATAATAGAAAGGGGGTCATAATATAGTAGTATCAGTAATCGCGCTTAAAATGTTTATTTGGGTTACCCAAATCGCTATATTATGCTCATTACTGATCGTTTCATCCTCGCGAGAACACTGACCAATAGTGAGAACAGTAATGTTTTAATTATTTGGGTTAAAATGACTTTCATACTTATTACCGATTTTCTTCAATCTATTTCTAATTGTCTGAGGAAACTGCCAAGTCTATGGACTGTCTATGACGGTTAACTAGCAAACTTTATCACAAATTGTCTAAACCAAAGCGCGTCTTGTGACTACCAAATTTTATTCAAATAGTCTTAAATCTGATGTTCAGTAGTTGTCTTTTGTTGATGTGGTTTATAAGTGTTTCTTGTTTCTTGTTTTTTATTTATATAGATTAGACCGTTGGTTTTCCCGTTTGAATGGTTTTACACTAGTAATTGTTTTGGGGCCTTTTAGAGCTTGCTGTTCGGTGTGAGCCAAGTCTCCGTGTTGAAGACCGTACTTTGACCTATAATGGTTTACTTTTATGAATTGTGACTTGGATGGAGAGTTGTCTCATTGGCACTCATACCATATCTTCTTATATCTAATTAATGATTATAATGTGATACAAATGATTTAAATATTCAACCGGTAATATATAATCAATTTATGCCTTAAATGTTTTGTAGGAAGAAAGCGCAAATATGAAACTAGTATTATGTTTGGTTATTATTTTCATGATGAAATGCTGTCTGTTCATCATAAATGCTCCGTGTAAATTTGACAGCAGGTGTGTATGTCTCAATGATACCATCAGACCGTTCATAAATGTAAGCTGTGAGGGAAAGAATATAACCAAGATACCGAAATTTCCTTCAACGGTCTACTCTGTTGATCTCTCAAATAATAAAATAGAAAGCATACCAGATGGAACATTTGAGAATCAAATAAATTTGAGGAAATTGGACCTAACTTCAAATTGTATAAAAGTATTAGAAACTGATTCATTTAAAGGTCTTAGTAATTTGCTTGAACTTGTTTTAGAAAAAAGCTGTATCAACTTTCAAAAACTTCCAGATGGTGTGTTTACACCTCTAGCATCGTTACAACATCTGAACTGTAAACATACACATTTTGGTTATAAGAAGAATTTACCAGGCAGGCTTGTTTCAAACTTAACACATTTAGAATATCTAGAAGTTGATGTTCTTGAAAATACAACTACAGTGTATGGAATTTTATTTGATAAACATTTTGGCGAACTTCTCAATTTAACAAAACTGAGGACGGGATCATGTTCTTCTTCATCTTTTAATTTTGAGGAGAACACATTTAACAACTTGAAATATCTAACAAATATAGATATATCTTCTTGTTACGGTTCAATGTATAAAGGAGCTCTGCAAGGAAGAAGTAAATTAGCTAGTTTGGCATTTGAAAAACAAATACCGCCTAGGACACGCAGCTGGCTTAATTTGATAATCGATATCAAAACGTTCTCTTCTTTAGAAAAACTCCTACTTACAGGCTCATTTGAATGTGATGACGAATATTATAAGTTGAACTACCGACTTTTCCAAAACTTGTTTTCGACACAAGTCCGAGAACTTCGCGTGAATCACAACTGTTTCAAAGAAATATTACCACCTGAAGATATTCTCAATGTTCCACAAACACTTCAAATCCTGGACCTCTCCTACAATAACCTGACGTGTTTGTGTATTGAAATGCATAATATTTTGATTTTGAATTTACAACACAACGTCCTAGGTAATTGTTTACGGAAGCATTATTGTCCACGAACAAAAAATCTTCGAATAGAAAAACTCGATTTGTCATTTAACGTTATATATCAGTTATCAGATATGATGTTTGCTGGGCACAAAAAATTAGAAATTCTTAATCTCAGTAATAATCTTCTATCAGACATTAACTTCAATCTTTCTAATACACCAAAATTGCAAATACTAGATCTTTCAAACAATAATATTACAATCATATCAAATCAGCAAGCATTGATGACACTGACAAAAATGATGGGACAATCAACATTCGTCATTGACCTATCAAATAATGTATTACGTTGCAACTGTTATACAGTAGGATTTTTAGAATGGATCGTGAATAATTTGGAACATTTCCGTAACAATGATATTTATAAATGCAATTTGGAAAACAAAACTATCATTACTATGCATAATTTTAGGAAAATAGTTGGACAACTAGCTAAAGATTGTAATTCATATAGTACAATTGTAATAAGTGTTACATTAGGAATTGTTGTGTTTCTAATTACTCTTTGTGTGGGACTAATGTATCGCTATAGATGGAAACTTCGCTATATGTATTATATGACCAAAAGTAAGTACTATAGATATAAACCTGATGATGATAACGAATCTTATACGTATAATGCATTCATTTCATATTCTGATGTGGAGAAAGATTTTGTGGTCAAAGAATGTATTCCAATTCTTGAACAAGATGATAAAATGAAATTATGCATACATCATCGAGATTTTCTTCCCGGTGAGGAAATATCAGTTAATATAACAAACGCTATCCATGAGAGTAAAAAGACGATATGCATTATAACCAGATCATTTCTGGACTCTTATTACTGCATGTTTGAATTTAACATGGCCAGAATGGAGAGTATTTATTCAAGAAACGAACAAAATATTCTGTTTTTAGTGTTTTATGAACAAATTCAACCTCGAAATCTTCCGTTGGTTATGTTAGAACTGGTTCAAAACCAGTCGTATATAGAGTACCCACATGACGAACAAGGAAATGTTGTATTCTGGGAAAAAGTCAAGGAAGCTATTGCGTAAACATTTGCTTATTTGTTTGAATTTCGTTAATGCCTTTTACCTTGACATACATTACTTTAAAAAATTGAACAAAACAAAACACACAAAGCACAAAAAAGAATATTTCAATATATTCAAAAATATATGTTTCATTATATATTATCATTGTGCATTGTATACTTTCATGTTTGATAAATATGTATAAGAAAATTACTCTGTTCTATTCATTTAAAGTCATATGAAACGAGTGACTGGTGAAAAAAAAAAGTTTATTCAAATCTTGAACCAATGCATGTATATATCATAAACTTAGTCTTCTGTGCACGATTTTATCATTTTTACGCATCCATATCGTATAATCGTAAAAAAAAACTCTCGGTTTGTTATGATGTGAAAATGTGGCAGCTAATTAATTGGCGGGTTATGAAGCCGTAGTTTACCGATTGTCACCTAAGTAAACAATCAACAAAGAAGCATGGATATTGAGCACGTGTATAACATGTACAATAAGATAATAATAGTTTATTTCAATGACAGATCCATGCGTATTGCGATCACCGGATTTTTACGAAAAAGGTCACGTTGAGTTCACTGCATACGGAAAACATATCGGCGATGTGTTTACTGGAAGCAAACAATTAAAAAAAGTAAATTTCTTCTAAATTTGGACAAATTATAGAATTTTCTTGCGAAAAAAGTATATGTACATAAGTTTTATAATGAAAACAAGTGTGGACACAGATGAATGTGGATAGTATGTTTGGATGTTTGACAGTGTTTTATATGACAAAAGGAGTTCTATGTTTTTCCTATATGGTGTTATTAACTGTGTTGCACGATGACAACCAACCTGAGCATGAGGAGTGTTGTTTATTTAATATTTAGATTTTATGTTCAAGAGGGCATGGAAGAGACACTAATTGCATTAATTACCAAATGATTATGATAGAACATTTTCCACATCTTTGATTTTGGATACATTTTGTAGCTAGGAGAGCAACACATAATAGGTTCATTTTTTCATGTGATTTTTTTTTAAATGGGAGATGATATCTGAGAACATGATATCAGGAGGCTGTAATTCAGTGGTTGTCGTTTGTCTATGTGTTACATAATATTTGTTTTTTGTTTATTTTGTGTACATAAATAACATAAATGACTATGCATTATGGGTTTTGCTCATTGTTGAAGGCTGTACGGTGACCCGTAGTTGTTAATTTCTGTGTCATTTTGGTCTGTTGTGGAAAATTGTCTCATTGGCAATCATACCACATCTTTTTTATATGTATTTGCTCACTATTTGTATGGTTCTATTTATATTACTTTGTGGTGGATTGTCAGTATCATTAGTAAAATATTTTGTTAAAATGTCGAAATTGTTTCTCAGATTAGATGACATTTATTGGTTTTTAGTAATGACAATACCTGACATGATGCTTGGGGCTAGATGAGCTAGAAAGTAAACTTCTGTGTTGTTTTTTATCAATTCTTTGATAACATCTCCTCCAAAGCTGGCCGAAGCAAAAAAAAGTTTTGACCAATATGAAAATGATATCAACAAAAAAAACCTTTGTGAGCATGCTACAAAGACTCATAACTGCTCCAAAAGTAATCTGATAGAATTTCAAGCATGTCAAGTGGGTATTATGAAAATCTACTTAATATGTCCAAATATCAAAAAAGTTATAGTATTCAATATGAAAAAGGTATTGCAAAATTATTCTCTTTTCAATTTTTTTTGTTATATGGATACAAATATAAGTGATACCAATACAGTATTTGTTGTGGTATGAAAGTGTAGTAATTAACATTTACTGTAACAATGTTAATTCACACAAATTAAGAAATAAACAAATGAATGAAAAATGTTGAACATGTACAATGAAATATAGTTTTAGAAATCAATTAATATATTAGGCCAGATAGGCCTTATAAATTTTGGTTGTTTTTTTTTAACATACTGAATGACCATTTACACTCAGGACGGAGTCATCAGTACAGATGTATTAAAACAACCTAGCGTCATATTGCTAGTAGCGAGTGTAGCATTGTCGGGTAAATTTGTTCTTTTTTTAAATTTGGTTAATGGACAAAAAATGTTTGGTTCAAATCATAATAAAATGCTTTTATCTCCTTATTACTTACATTGTACATAGAATGGATACTAACCGGACAAATCCTTGTACATGAGAGTTGTCTGTCAAATCTTTATTTCACAAAGAATGAATTGCATAACAATGAACTGAGCTCAAAGCAAAGCACTTTAATAATACACTTAGACAAAGAGCTCAATCCAGTGATATACTTTGTACTACAGGTCCTTCATGAACATCCTATCCACCAAAACCATATCTCACAAACATGCCATACTACATGGTTCGATCAGAAGTCCTGAAAAAGACATGAATTTTATTATCATATTTTAATTATATATACACAGGTTAAAAGTTATATACTCCAATGGCAGTCTTTCCTGCTAAAATGTCATGTGTAGAATGTGATATACCATTTTTGGGTCTATATAGGTACTGTCCTTTATATTCATTAGGTCATTTTGACACAGCAAAATATATAGAAAATGTTAACTTTGATCTGGAAATTGAGTTCTTTTTCGCAAAAATAAACCCACTAAAACTAAACTTTGAATGCAAAAGACCCCTAAATGGCTAACAGATATTGCTATAAAGAATAGTCCATGATGATTATTGTTATTAAAGAGTTCATGAAATGTACATCGACTTTGTCAGTTGAATGGACTAGAATGAGATAAGTTATATAAACATAAAGGTTTTTTCAACAGTTGTGGTGTAAATTAAATCAGTTTTATTTTATGGTTGACATATATAAGTATATATGTAGATCATTGGCTTTTCAACACATTGATATTTTACAATATTGATTATCTATTCATTGTTATATTGTTGGTATTTTTCACCTTCCTAAAACAGTTTTAACGCAACATGAACGCAAGCTTAATAGATCTTGATAGGGTCTCCTCACATATTTTGACGTTGCTGAAAAATTTTGGTTGACATATGTATCCTCTTCTCATCGTTTTTCCTGCTATTAAGAATGCATACTGTCGTCACAATTTCCATTGAAAAAGCATGCATAGTACAAATTCATGTGACGTACGAAAACATATGATCTGACCATATACATGTACATGTATGTATAGGTTATCAGCTTTTCTACACATATTAGCCAGTAAGCCGCAATGAACCTATTATGGCTAGTGAGCGCAGCTAATGAGCTAAAATGAATCAAATTGTGTCCTCAGTGGGGGATATTTTAAGGGATCTATATGAAGAAAACCTGATCATCTGTTTATCGTTCTATTACTGGCTTTTTCACCTCCCTAACTTGGCCTAAGACAGTTTTTACAGACGAAAGCAAGCTTGATAACTACTCCTCACACACATGTATAGATTATCGGCTTTTCTACACGAGTCATGAATATCATAAAATGTTAGCCAGTGAGCAGGCCCGCAATGAACCTTTTTAGCGAGTGAGCCCAGCTAATGAGCTAAAATGAATCAAATTGTGTACTCAGTCACAGTTGGTGATATTTTAAGGTATCTACACAAAGAAAACCTGCTTATATAAATCTCAGTGGCGGATCCACAACTTTTCATAAAAGGGGGGTGGCCGCTGACTGACCTAAGGGTTGCCCACTCCAGTCATGCTTCCCCAGTGGCGGATCCGAAGGGAGGGTTCCGAGGGTTGGAACCCCCCTTTTTTCGGACGATCAATGCATTTGTCATGATTTGAATGGAGACACATAGTTGGTACACACCACCCCCCACCCACCCTTTGTCCCGAGTTGGGAACCCCCCTTTTATAAAATGGCTGGATCCTCCCCTGCTTCCCTATAAAATCAACCAAATTTTCCCCACCCCCTGGATCCGTCTATGTAACTGTTTATCGTTCTGCGTAATACTGGCTTTTCACCTCCCTTACTTGGCCCTAGACAGTTGCTTATCTGTTTATCGTTCTATCACTGGCTTTTTTTAGACTAGAGACTTCATGTGTACAAACCTGACGTCAAACTCGTGTACTATAAAAGAAGAGACAAATAATTTCACATTAAATCCTGTAACATTACATCTAAAGATAATTATAATCCAAAGTAGATTGTATTACGATGTCACTAGACTAAATTCCCGCGCAAATGTCATCACTGGGATAGACCAAAACGAATTTTAGGTTTATGTATCATTCACATTCCGATCAATTTACTCAGTTAAAATAAAATATATGTGTTAACTATTTTTATATTGGTTTTGAATTTAGTCAATCTATCAGAAAAAAGGATTTATTTCTCGCAGACAGCCCTCAATACTATACACCAACTCGACACGAAGCTAAAAAACCCTAAAACATAATAGTATATGGAATCGTCCAAACGGATTACCTAATATTGATATAGGTGAAATATGTAGATTCAGAATTGTGTACACAGAAATAAGATCAGAAATAAAGCCCTATGTAAGGTGAAAACAATAACACAACTGTATACAAACATGGTATATAAAATCATTGTTTATTAAATTTGCTTGCATAAGAACCATGAAGTTAAAATTTATAACGATTACGTTTATCCTGTCAACCCCTTTTCTTCATTGCATCAAGGCTTCCGTTGCTTTACATCGAGCAGCAATTCAACCAATCGGGGAATGTTAAGTTGGGACATACCTCTATTTTTGGAAGCGTGATCTTTACATCGAGGCTTGCGTTGCTTTACACCGAGGCCACAGTAGTTCGACCAATCGGGGAATGTTTATTTGGGGCACGTGACCTATTGAACTGCAGGTTTTATAATATTTTAATCGAAATTGTAGAAAAATGAAATGTTGTTAGTACATACAAAACAGAAAATGATGAATACTTTTAGTAAAAGATAATTTGGATCCGGGTTCTGTGTATTCACATCATTTGTACAACTCTCCTTACTGATGCCATTTTTTGGAATTTCTGTGACCTAAATGGTTCGCGAAAATTAATATTTTATTATATATATA